CTATCTCCCTCTCTCTTTTATTTTTTTATTTTTTGACCGTCTGACTCAATTATTCTTTGTGGAAAAAAAAAACTAATATATATGCATAATACATGGATGTTTCAAAGTTATTTACAATGAAAATAATGGAAAAAATACTTACTCGAGAATAAAACAAAATTCTTACCGTAATTATAAAAGAAATCATAAAATGTTTATTCTTGATTTTTTTACTTTAAAATGGATTTGGCAGCATTGTTAATATTTGCAAAACAACGAATGTAATTTAAAATTATAAGGGCGATAATTTCAAATAACAGAAAATACTGCTTCCCATAATTTGATCATTGCTTTATATGTTTGCGCATTTAATTTTATATGCTTGGAAAACAATATATATATATACTTACAATGTACTTACATGCAATGAATATTTGTCAGCTTGAAATTCAAGTTGGATATTATTTGTTGTACCGTTATGAAAAATAGATCTGCGGCTAATACCCTAAATTATCCACGTTCAGAGAGGAGGTCTCTAAATATCCTTTATTTGATCTAGTATGTAATAAGGGTTTGACAATCACTATCCTTTTCCCTTAGATGCTTTCAGTTTACTATATTTTCATAATTTTTGTCTTGTTTAGACATCGTGTCGTTGCGTTCAATGTTAAGTAAAATATACTTGCATCATGACTCACTCGTTGTTCTACGCATTACCCGGTATTTCATATTTTCTTATTGCATATAAATGTTCGTTTGGTGTTTGTTCAAATACGTACTGTTAATAAAACTCTGTATAATATTTACTTGATGCATGGTTCTACTCTGCTAACCATAGATTTCCACTTAACGGTTTTGAATGGACATTGTTAAATGATTAACCGTTGGGCAATCAACGTAATTTGAGTAAATGTTCACCTTACTACAGGTCCTAACAATGATTCTGGGAAAATAAAAATCATTCACTTAAGTGATAGAGTCATTCAATCAAAAAAAAAAAAGTCAAGCAAATTGTTGGCTTAAAAGATTGTTACAAAGTTGCCTCTGTTGCGCATAGGCACCCTCCTCAATCTACATGTACATAGCATTATAGAGATAAAGTTTATAAATCGTTAAACACTTGAAATAAGCATTCAATTCTAAGTCCAAGGGAAGAATTTAAGGAGGAATGCCACATCAAAATTTTATTTCATACATCTTTAAGACATCCCCTTTAAACTATGGTTTCAGCATTAGAAGGCCGATATAAGCTCTAAATTATTTTATAAGAATTTTTTCCAATTTTTCATAGAAAATGAAAAAACAATATTTGCAAATAAGATGTTTTAGAGTTTAAAATTTGCTATTGATACATGCATAAAATGAATATTTAATAAAATATGAAAACAAAAGCAAGCTGGACATTTTATTTTTTTTTTTACTATTAAATTATTTATGAAAATAAAACACATTATTTGTGAATATTTTCAAAACCTATGGATGATATATTTAAAAAAAAAAACAAGGAAGATTGCACCAAAGCCGTTTCATAAAACTGTCATATCTTATGATAATCTTAAGATCTATCTTCATCTTAAGACAACTAGATACCTGTCTTAAGTCTAAAGTGAAACTGGCAGAGTATATCTTTTGGCTAAAAACCGAGGGATATTTAAAGAAAACGTTTTTTAGAGATAGAACAATCCTTTGGACTATATCAGGCCAGTCGGAACAATGACACCCCCCACCCATCAAAATAATTTGCCAATAAATTACGATAGAAAAGATAAAATGTACCTACTTTATGTTTGTGCCACTTTATTCATTTCAAGGCAATTTTCTTTGGTTGTGCCCCCTCCCAACTGAAATTGCAACCAAACCCCCCCCTTCCCCCTAAATTGCTTCTTTAGGCCATGTATATATGTACATGTATGTAAGAACCATGTATAACTTGATTCAAAATTGTTCAATTGTGAATTCAATACCCCACAAGAGCATCACAATTTCTATGACCAAGCATTGCTAACTTATGCAATTTTTAAAATAGCTAACGTAATGCCAGATTTGTTAAGTAAATATATTTTGAATTAATAAAAATACGAAATATATACTTTTTTATGGATTGGATAAGTCCCGCCCGTGAAAATAAAAAAAAAATTCGAACTTCTGTGTAGCTACCCTGCATTTTTAAGACGTTTTACTTTAATTAATTTATTTTGTTACATTGTTGTGATTTTTTCGAGAAACTATGAAGTAAACATTTCTTTCAGTCTTACAAAATTAGATGAAAATCAAATAGTTTTAAATCTTGGGGTATCCCTCATTAATCCACCGGAATGTGTTTGAAAATTCAATATAATTAGTGCTGTAACATTTGATGCTGCATGTACACGCTTTCTTCATGATTTCTTAATAGCAGTTGAAACTATAAAATTTTGATTAGAAATTGTTCTTTCGTTTCTCTTCTTCATCTGTAAGCATTGTTATTTTGTTGCAGTAGTTTAAGCGTTTCAGAGACACCGTCATCGAATTTTATGAACGAACTTAGAACACGATTTGGTGTTTCAAAAGGATTCATTGCTAAAATCATTCATTATTTGCAAAGGTTCAGTCACACTAGTAGATTTAATTAAAAGTACTATCACATACATTTCGTCAGCAACTATTATTTTCTGAGCACAAAGACATTTAAGCAAATTTTGTTCGAAAGATTCCGGGGGTATATTGTTTTTGTCCTGTCTCTCTGTTTGTCTGTTTATCTGTTTGTCTGTTGTCAACTTTAACCTTGTCCATAACTTTTGATTGGTTTGAGTAATGACTTTCATATTTTACATATGTATTCCTTGTGACAAGACCTTTCTTTGGATACCATCATATTTGACCTTGACCTTGTAGTTTGACCCACTTTTGCAAAATTTTATGAGACTTTAAACTTGACCATGACTTCTGAACAGTTGGTGCCTGGGGATTCAAACTTCACATTTGTATTCATTGTGACAAGGCCTTCCTTTGGATACCAACAACTTTGAACTTTTGACCTTGGAGTTTGACCTAATTTTGAAAAACTTTAACCTTGGCCATAACTTTTGAACAGTTGGTGCTTGTGGTTTCAAACTTCACAAGTGTATTCCTTGTGACAAGACCTTCCTCTGGATTTCAACCTCTTTGACCCTTTGACCTTGACCTATGAGTTTGACCTACTTTTGAAAAACTATAATCTTGGCCATAACTTTTGAATGGTTGATGCTAGGGCTTTCATACTTCACATATGTAATTCTTGTGGCATCACCTTCCTTTGGATACCAACCACTTTGACCCTTTGACCTTGACATAGGAGTTTGACCTATTTTCGAAAAACTTTAACCTTGGCCATAACTTTTGAGTGGTTGGTGCTAGGGCTTTCATACTTCACATATGTAATCCTTGTGACAAGACCTTTCTTTGGATACCAACAACTTTGACCTTGACCTTGACGTTTTACTTACTTTTAAAAAACTTTAACCTTGGTCATAGCTTTTGAACAGTTGCAGCTAGGACTTTCAAATTTCACAGATATATTCCTCGAGACATGACCTTTCTTAAGGTACCAACATTTTTTTTATCTTTTGGCCTGGATTTTGACTAGCATTTGAGAAACTTTAACCTTCGCCATAAGCTGCCATACGGGGGCATCAGTGTTTCACAAACACATCTTGTTTGTGATGAAATTAATTCAAATTTAGTTTTTGTGAACCCCCCCCCCCCCCAAAAAAAAAACACACACACACACACACACACACACACACACACACAAAGAACAATAAAGTTGATGCAATAAAATGTTTTTTTTTCCGAGGTTATATCTGTAAAAGAAACTATATGAGATACACTGTTATTTCAATATTTCAAAGTAAATTAAAAAAAAAAGACAACTAAACTTCGTGCAAACATATATCAAAAAAATTCCCTGTAATATTGAAGAATGGGATTAGTCTTAAGACTTGTCATAAGATTTCATATACTTAAGATAGTTTTGTGAAACAGCAGTGACAATTCTTACGATTGTCATAAGTCAGAAGATCTTAAGATGATCGTAAGATCTATCTTAGGACAAATCTTACGATAGTTTTATGAAACCCGGCCCAGAATTGTATAATAATTGGAATTGGATAACATTTTTTCAAGAATACTAGTTTGTTTAGGTGTAATACGGATTAAAAGGTAATTGAACTTGACAATCAAATAGATTTCTTACGGGTAAATACATAAAGAAGGCGATAATTATTATTTTATTTATTTCAGTTTCATTTTGATCGGGATTGATCCAAATATTAAAAATATTTACAAATTATGTGTTTTATTTTCCTAAATAATTTTTAATTTAAAAATTAAAATGTATGTCCAGCTTCTCTTAACCCATTTTTTTTTTAGCCATTCATATTATGCATTTATTAATAGCAAATTTTAACCCATTAAGCATCTTTGCAAAATAAAACAATTTTTTTCTTTCATTTTCTCAGAAAAAATACCCCCCCCCCAAAAAAAAAAAAAATTAAAAAAAAATCGTATAAAATAATTAAGAGCTATTATCAGTCTTTCAATGCTGAAATCGTAGTTTAAAAGGGATGTCTTAAAGATCTATTCAATAAAATTTTGGTGTGGCATTCCTCCTTAAATTATGAAAAGGATTGGGGGTGATGGGGATGATTACATGGTTCTCGAGATATTTTACTTATATTTTACTTATAGATTAAATAGAACTGTGTATACAGTAAGAAATTGTTTAACATAATTTCTCCCGTTATTAACTGTGTTTCATCATTCCCGCTCAGTTGTTAAGTTGTACCTAGGACGATTCTGGTTGTCTGCTTTATTCGGCGCGTTTCAAAGAGAATCTTAAATGAACAAGTCCATGTTGGTATAATGGGAGAAACAGGTCCCATAAAAGTTTTAATTAGTAACTGGGTTTTTCTCAAAACTCTCGTTTAATATTAATCTTTTTTTTATTTTTAAGAGACACTTGGCAATATCCGTGTCTCATCAGAATTTAGAAAAACCTCGCATTGGTTATCAAACATATTTGTAAAACAAAGAGTATGATCGTGGAACACACTTTCAGTAACAAAGGACGTGAGAAGTAAAATCTTGCACATCAGATTCGTTTTGGAATATCATCGACTCAGTTCGAGTTTTTATCATTGTAAGCAAGTACCTCAGAAGAGCCCTAGCTCCGTTCTCGGAACAGTTCCTTCGCCAAGCGAAGTGAAAGTTGTGGGTCTTTCGGATGAGAGCAAAACCGAAGCTCCATGTCACGGCAGCCGCTGGCACGCTAAAGAACCTCACTAATCAAGGGCATGAGTAGTTTCATCACCTAAAAAGAATACGACTGGGCCTTAATTTCACAAAAGATGTATTTTTAACAATTGTCTTTTAACAGGCGGGTCCAATAATCTTGGGTCTCTCCATTTCGATTTCGTGAACTTTTTTCGCATATTTTACATATTGCATCGGAGAAAATTTCCTCATTTCCAACTTCATAATATTTGTCCTTTTCTTTAAGATAATTGGTATATTTTTCTTCACTGGAACCTATATCAATCAGCATATTAGCAAGATCCTTAACAGTTGCAAAACGTAAGGCATCAATATATGTTCCATTGGGCAAATAGTCTGCTACATTGGATGGCCCGTTAACCACAGGAATGATTTCAAGTTCATATAAATACAAGTTGAATAACTTTTCAGTCGTGTAATCTGGACAAATAGTATTTTCAAATGCGAGATAAAATTTGTAATCACGCGAGACATTCGCGAGACATTCGCTGAAAAGGGAAGTGGCAATTCCACACATTTGAGTACCACATTCACCGAAAAGATCTACGTGTATGTGTTTTCCTATTTCCTGTGCAAGTGCTCTCCGTTTGGAGGGTACAGGACAGTGTCCAGACATCCACACTGCATCAAGAGTCTTCTTACGGAAAACATCACTGTAGTTTCTCTCAAGTTCCTTTTGTCGACGCTTAATACTTCCATAAGGTCTGAAGATATCTGAGTGACTTCTAAAAGACATCGTATAATCAAATAGTCCATTCCAATGTCTTGCCGGCCTTTTCATTAATGTCGCTGGTTCCATACTATGGAATATCCAAAATTGATTCTTTATTTTTTGTGGTGGAGACTTTGGCAAAGTTTCTATGTTAAATATGACAGCAATGCTGTTTTGAAAATCTTCCACATTTTGAGAAACAAAACAATTATACGTAGTTGAGCACATTCTTTTGTTGAAATAATCTATAAATGTTGTTAAATAGGATGGAGCATTATACACGAGAATTAAAGTCCTTTTGTCAGAAATTATATTCTTCTCTTCAATGCTTCTGTTTGAGTTTGGAAGTAATGTAGTTGAAATTGCGTCAAATATCCCGATATTCATATCATATTGAGAGAACACTTTGATCCAAGATATTGATACAGTCACTAGAAGCACAAGGACAATGAGATAATTCCGTACAATCCTTTTCCCTGCAAAGAAAGTTAAAGTAAGTACGTTATCAAAATATTATTATATAAATATTGCATGTAGTTGAGTGTAACATTGAAAATTTTCAACCCCCCCCCCCCAAAAAAAAACCCCATTGTCAACCGAGGCGCAGCCGAAGTTGACAATGGCTTTCGAGGGGTGAAAATTTTCAATGTAACACTCAACTACATGCAATATCTATTATATTATACTGAATATTTATACAAATGCATATTACAGGGAACCTTGCGCGCATAAATTCTGCGTAGTCAATATTTGTTGGAATATCACCCGTCGTCAGGCAATGTTGACTGTTGCTACGCTGGAGGTGTGGCTTCGTTATTCAGCGGGTAATAGTACTTTTTAACAAATGTTTCTCGACGAATCAGATTCAACTAATTTACATGAAAGTATAAATATATATGAAATGCATGATTGTCATGACATGTATGTGCAAATAGGACTTTGGATTTTGTCGGGGTTTAATTCTTCAGGGTTAAAGGGGCTGACCCAGTGAAAGTTTGACATTGTAGGGATTTTTAGGTCACCTGAGTCACTCAGGTATAAACAAACAAAGAAATACCCGTGAAGGCCCATCACGAACCTTTCAAAAAATATGGTCAAGGTTAAAGTTTTAAAAAAGTAGGTCATACTGCAAGGTCAAGGTCATGATAAAAATACTGGTACCAAAGAAAATGTCCTATCACAAGAAATACATAAATGAAATATGAAAGCGCTAGCAGGTACCTTGTGAAAGTTTGACATTGTAGGGATTTTTTAAGAATTTAGATTCAGTCGTGATATTGATTCTGATTGTGACCTTCTGTAATCTACTTTTTCTGTAATGTTCATTCTCGTATAAACAAACATAGAAAGACATTTTTAAAGCATATCTTTTTTAAATGACTTTGGGTTATTAATTTAAAAAAAAAATGAAAGCATGAAAGTGTGTATAATGTATTATTTCGATCCATACATCACTTTGATAGATGATAAAAATAAAAAAACAAAACAAAAACAAAATGTGTTTGTGAAATTTTGATGCCCCCGTATGGCAGCTCAAGACCAAGGTTAAAGTTTTTCAAATAAAGGTCAGGTCAAACTCCAATGTCAAGATCAAGAATTCAGGAATGCTGGTACTTAAAAAATAGGTCTTATCACAAATTATCGTGAAGGTCCATCACCAACCTTTCATAAAATATATTCAAGGTTAAAGTTTTTAAAAAGTAGGTCATAGTCCAAGGTCAAGGTCATGAGGTAAAAATATTGGTACCGAAGAAAAGGTCAAGTACCCGTAATAAGAAAAAATATTAAAGCTTTTTACAAATTTAGGCCAAACTCAAAGGTCAAGGTCAGGAGGTTAAAAATGTTGGTACCCAAAAGAATTTCTTGTCACAAGGAATATAAATGTGGTAGATGAAAGTCCTAGAACCAACCTATCAAATTAACAGACAGACAGACCAAAAACTACCGGTATATGCCCCCGAATCTTCGATTACCGAGATTGTTAGTTCCTATTACAGAACAGTGTTGACAGTGATGGTCAGTATTGATGATAGGCGTTTACTTAGTATTTTTTCAACGTCTACAGTATTCCTTCTTCCTTGTTTCAGATTTTTTAAAAACAGGCCAGTCTTTTCTCAAGGAACCAAGAAAAGCAAACGAAATGGAAAGGACTGGCATCTTTTCTAATCATTCAAAATGTCTTTAATTATATCGTCTCATTGTTTTCAGTGCTCAAATGTATATTTTCATCAAAATGATGAAAAAGTTTGTCTGTTAAGAGTATCCAGGTACTCAGGATACTATAATACGCAGCATTAGGTGCCCCTTATAAGATAATAATAGCAATTGTCTGCGTTCTGTGACCTGCCACCTTGTCGGTACCTACATTTATATTGTCATCTTGATTTCCTGTCTGTACAATTTTGCATACTAAGGAAATAGGTTTTCATTAAAAATATTTTCTTCTGACCATGATATGAAAAGTGTGTACTGGTTTTTATTGAATAAATAATAGCAAAACCTTTTTTTAAATTAATATGTCGCCTTGTCTTCCAGTCGGATGTGTTCACTGATAGTGTGTGGACATTCGTACACTGATAATGAACAACGAAATGACGAAAGCATCGTAGAAAATGCCTTTGATTTAGTCCACTGGAATTTACTGTTTTTTTTTCTGTGTTAACACTTGGTAGCTGTAATGCAAAATATTACGACACACACATGCACTACTATTCAGTATTTGACAATATGGTGTGACTATCAAGAGGAGAAACATGTCAGCGCCTACAAAAACATCTTTGATGAAATTATTCATGTCGGAACTTATCAGTGATAAAATAAGATATAAGCACTTCAGCTTATGTAATTCTGTTATTTTTCATTTCAACCTTAGTCGCTGGGAAACTGTAACCTATTAGGAACAAATACTTAATATCATGTAAAAGTATGTGCCATTGTCCTTTTTGTAATCTATTTATATCCCATTTATGCAAGAGAGCTACAAATTAATACCCTCAAACCGCTATTGATGAGATGGCAGGACACGACAGACAAAACCCTCTACACTACAAAGAGAGAAACGATAGCAGCAGGGCTCCACCAATAACCACTGTGACATACCACCCCGTCCGTAAGAACCGATATTCTTAAAAAGAACCTGTCAATTTTTTATTCCAACAAAAGAATGGCAGGGATCTTTAAGGAACCTCCATTTTCCGCCCAAGGAACTTAAAGGATAAGGTAGTAAGAACCAGATTGGACAACCCAATACCCAACGGCTTTAAAACTTCTATTGGCAGAAGATGTCTTCTCTGTAAGCACAGGTCTGACACAGACAGTTTTAACTGCCCCGTTACAGGTCGCAGCTACAGAATATAAGAGAATTTGTCCTGTAAAACAGACAATTGCATATACATTGTATCTCATCAGCTGCAAGGTTTGTCAAAAACATAATGTAGGAGAAACGTACCATTCGACCATTAAGACCAGTTAGGGAACATTTCAACCTTGAAAGACATAAATGGGAGGACATGACAGTAGTAGTGGTTATTGACCATAACTCAAAAATGGAAAAATGCATAGAGAAAAAGCAATGAAAAATTCTAGATGCATGCACAGACTGAAGTCATTCCGCCTTAATGGTATTATCAAATTAAATGACATCACAGGATGAATGTGAACTAGACCTCATTCCAGATTTTGACAAACAAGACTGATTTCTCTAAAAAGTATTAACTTTCCAGTTAATCAAAGAAAAAAAATTAAATAAACATGGAATTATCTTCATTTATATTTATTCTTATATTATTGTTTAATATTCCCATTATCCTGTAATTAGTTTAATAATATTACAGAATTTATAAGACGCCCTAATTCTTTTTCTTCCAAATTCAGTTTGAATTGTTTTCCTTTATAACTTATTGCTTAACTGTGTTTCAAACTTTATCTTTCCATCATATATCATCATATATAGTTACTCTATTTCATGTACGATTTACAACTTTGTCGTAAAATTACCGATAATTAGTTCATTCAGTTATGTAAATCGCACTTTCAAATTAAACATCGCACTTTCAAAATAAACATATATAAGATTGCGAAGTTTAGTTGTACTGCTAGTTGTTCTTGTTTTTCTTTTGTTTTAATGACTTTCTAATTTTTTTTCTTTGTCCTGAGATTGGGACAGGGCGTCCCGAAAATTTGTCAATTTCTATTGCTCGTGTCATAAGTCATTTTAGTGCTTTGTTTATATCACTTGGACAATATATTTGTCCAGCTTCAACGGGATGTTCATGGTAAGTTTGCCATAATTAAAAAGCCAAAGGTCATAGAAAATAAATCATGCAAAAATATACAGTGTACTGATAATAGCTGATATTGTTCCGAGGTCTGTGTCAAGCTTCAGTTTTGGTACCTCGGTTGAAGTGATAAAATACTACTCCTTATCGTTATCATTTGATAACACGTACTTAATAAATCTTAATATATTTCATTGAAAGTTTATACCCTCATAAAGGTCTGCAAATTATGAAGGAAAAATCCACAAGATGTAATATATATATATATATATATATATATATATATATATATATATATATATATATATATATATATATATATATATATATATATATATATATATAAACTTACACGCAAAAAATTACATAACTGCATTTAAAGATTCTAATAAATATCTCGAGCAATCAAATAAAGAATTATTTAATTGTCAATATTTCAGTTATTGTTGAAAAAAAAGGAAAACAAAACAACAAACGAAAAATAATAATAATATAACATACCAGAAGTAGACAGCATCATAGTATATTAAGACTCCAACAGGATTTTGATATTTTGAAGTACAACGAATAACTTTTTGCGGCTGAAGGTATTAGTAATACGTGTATGCAGTGTGGACGGAATACATGCTGCTCAAACAATGCCGCAGTTAATTTATTCATTTGTCAGTTGTTGTGAACCTCTTGAAAACTTTCATTTCTGTCTTAGATGATTATAAATATCCTTTTTGCATATTCAATTCTATTAACTTCCCACATCTTCATTTCGAGCGTGGGACTTGGAGGTTATAAAGCATGCATTATTTGTTGGTTTGTTTTGCTTCCTGTCATCACACAGTGCTCATCTTATGCATTTTATATGTATATTTCACACCATCAGTTAACTTTGCTAATTACTACTTATTATTAGTTATGTTTCAATTTAGGACAAAAATGAGAGGTTGGACATTTTCTTTCAAGAACGACTAGATTATTTTCTTCAAGTGCTAAACTATTTTTGCAGTTATCTAGAATGCCTTATACTTCTACACTTGCTAAGTCTTACAGCATAACCAATAACTGATCATTTTTTCTATTTAGGTCAAAAACTATATGTATGCATGTATTCATTGAAGACATCCCTAGGAATAGCAATGTGGTAACTTAATAATGATACAATATCCACTAATGATATAGCAAGGTACAGAGTGATCGAAAATATCTGATAACATTTTGAAGAATAATAAAACTTTCAAATGGCATAATAAATTTACGTTATTAATACATACTTTTATATTTTATACAGTTATGTCACATAAATATAATTCACTTTTTTCCCCAGACTACTGTCAAATCTCATAAATATCATGTCTTTCTACATATTGACAATTTTTTGTGTATTGTCAACTTGAGATCCTATAGGGTAGTTAGTTTGGTGTGTTCAGTTTGTCTGTTTAGTATCCTTCAAGTTTTGTGAATGTAACCTGAGTTACATACACGGAGTTCCACCATGTAGCTGAAACAAAATATCTGCAACATCAGTAATCCACTTAGCACTGACGAATTTCTGCATCAGTTGATGCAAGTTCTGTCAGTGTTGGTGCCGTTATAACACTCTGGACATCGGCAAATGAATTTATGTTCGTCTCGTCAATGATGCTGCCTTCCAGTGTTTTTACATCTTTAACTGAACCTTCACTAACCCATGTACCTGTTATCTTGTATACTTAGTGTGCTTGATGTCTATTGGATGTCTTCTTGTATAAAAATACGCAGGAAAGTCAGAGACTAAACTGGTATCCTCACTATTCTTCGAGAAAAAAAGCGATACGAATTATGTCCACATTTAAATTATACTCTTTAAATCACCGATATAATTTCTACAAAACTTAAATGAATACGCCCCTCCGTTACTTTTTCATTGCTTTGTTGTTCAGGGTCGTATATCTCAGACATAATGTACCCTTATTCCGTTTTCGTATAATATGCCGGAAAATTGGAAGAAATAAGATTTACTCTCTTAAATAGCTCAATATGGAAATAAATATCCTTTCTTTGGCTTTTAAGTGCACAAGGAAAAAACAATCATGTTAAGTATGTCTAACTCAGACGCATGTTAGGCAGAAAGAAAGAATACAGAAATAGGCTATATAATTATCTAGTTATGTATCGAGTCCTGCGTTTGTCCTTGTCTTTTGATATTTTTTACTATTGAACAGCATGAAGAGAAATGTAAGCGATCTACCTATTTTGCAAAGAAAAAATTATTTACGTTGTAATTGTATGTGTAAGTCTCCTGGAAAGACTCACAAATAAAGAAGCAATTCGTCCAACGTTGTCCACAACAAATGAGAGATGCAGCTAGATAAATTGCATACTTGAACAAAATGTATGGAGAGGGAGTGGGAGACCAATCTGTATACAAATTTACAAGGACCTCTAAAACTATCAGATTTGGGATCTGGTGCCATGGAGGAGTGAGCATTCCCTGTCGATGAGTCACATTCGCAATGTGCTCCTTCGGCAAAGGGAAAAATCTGTGGACAGTTCAGTGTGAAATTAATGGCCTAACAATTTGTATGAAAAACGTCTGTCAACATTCGACGTAATGATATATTGTATTTGCTGACAATGTCATTGTATCAAATTGTATAGAATTTGCGAAATGTTGACTTTAAACGAGACTTTTGATATTCTTGTTTCATTAGCTTGTTTGTCAATAGCTTGCCTCGTTTGAGAAATAGATCTAACGCAAAGCATGCTTTTGTGTATCGAATCAACTGGGAGACATAAACTCCATATACAGGTGATAATGGTATATCGCCACATAAATAAGGGAAGCTGACGGTAGAAAAGTTGAAGACATCACGTTTATCATAAAGTTTTGTTGTTAGGTTACCATTAACGTCTTTTTCAAGTAAAATATTAAAAACTTCTGTCTGTGAAAATGGTATTTCACCTCCGAGCCCAGAATTACTGCAGAGTCAAGCAAATATTTAGATTAGAACATGAGTAAGAAGTAGACCTCTGTCAACACAGTTCCAAAAACATTATTTTAATGACGATTTCTTTCCCCATTTTGTCCCTCTGCGTTTTTACAAGCTATACTAAATCATAACATGTTGTAAGGGATAGTTTCGGCTGAATTACGATTTCTTTTCTTTTAAAGCTGCATGATAGAATCAAAAGGCTCAAAGAATAATGTTTTTGAAGAAAGAGGAGAGGATCAAAAAATTATTTTGATTCGCTAAGGAATTGAACTTAATGGACAAGATACAAAATGTCATAATCTTTTTGTGAAGTCCTAGAGACAATATAAAGCAGCTTTACATCTTCTTGTCGTGAGAACCACAATTCCCATTTCTGTCCTCATTCCGAAATCTGAAAACATGGTTCCGTAACAATTATAAATTTCTTAATGAAGGTTATATAGACAGTAAATATTTGTTTATTTGTATGTATGTCGGAAATAAACTTTGATTGACATTTGAATATGCTGAGAAATTAGAATGTCATGTCCAAAAAAATATGCAAACTAAATATGTAATCCTTTTTTATAAATAGCTGCAGGGATTCTAAAGAATACATTAATGACAATATTTCTTTTATTGATAAATATTGGTGTTGACGAGTAAAGTTGAGCATATCTATCCTTTACATATCGATATTTGTGTAAGTCACATCTAGTATGCTATTGGATAATGTTAGAGTTAAAAACTGGGTGAAAATAATTTTAAATGCCATGGTAAACAAAAGAAACAAACTCCAATATATGATTATTTTTATAAGAGCAGTAATGAAGGTTATTCATCGCAAAAAGGTAATTGACTTTAATTTTACACACACGTAAAACTTTGTAAGAATTAGTCAAATTGATTATACATGTATTTTTAAAAGTGTTGCGAGATGCCTTGTACTGATCATAAACAAGGATTGAAGTGACAGGGTGTCCATGAAGATACAAGGAAATTGAGACAAAATATATTTTGTACATTTATTTCTTCTTAATATTTTTTAATACTCAAACACATAGCATTGATTTACTTTGTGAGAGCCAAAAATTAATTAAAAATAAAGAAACAAACAAAATGACTTTAAAAAGGTGCGTCTAATCATTTTATTTTTGTCAACTTATTAACGTTGAAAGATTTTATTTTCAATTGGTAGCTTTAAAGAGTTGGTAAACCGGATAATACAAAAATGATTTGACAAAATATGTTAACAAACTGGAAAAAAACAATACATTTGTATAACAAAAATTGTATAATAAGAAGAAATTATTTACAGATTACATACATATACTTTTTACATAATATATAACGAAATAGTCCTTAAAAAAGGAAATCAGATAGCAAAGAATTGCCATCTTAGTACATTTACATAGACATACTACATATAATTTGAGAATACATTGATGTTTCTGAGATTACACACACACACCATCACACACCCACCCTCACACATACATTGTGTTTGATTGATGAAACAGTGTGGCACACAAACATACATACATTCTCAACACCTAAGAAAATTCATAAAGGCACATTGCTTGTTCTGAATATTCTTTTCCCTTTCATTTTATATCTAATTAATCTAAAAGTTAACACAGACCTTGATTTTGCTGAACATATGTTGGTTATTTTGTCAGTTTTCTTTCCTTTTTTATTGAGTAACAAAACATGTGCAACACAAACTCTTTCTGTTTAACAATCATACCTTATGTACAAAGTATACATTCCAACATAACAATCCTGCTACAGTAAGTGTGGATGTGACTGTTGCATGTTTTTTTTTAATTTATCTTTTTTACAATAATAAACCTTACCTTATGAAAACATTGAATTTTTTGTGTTAATCCTCCCTTTCCTGTAGCAATAATGGAGTTAGTTTTCAAACTAATTAAAATTAGGTCTTTTATCCGCTCCAGCTAGATCACTTTGTGTAACCTGACGTAACTTCCTCTGAGATCTCATGTCAAAAATAGATATATCTTAGTAGATTCAAAACCCGAATTTGTATATTGTTTTCTGTGTGTAAGTCTCTTCTGGTCGTAGCACAGTATCAGGAAAATTTGGCTGAAAAAAAAGATCAACAATAAATATTATCAGATAAAAAATGTCTTATCTATGTTTCATGTTTTTTTTTTAAATTTCATGTCATTACATTTTGTGTCTGTTGTAGTTCGGATCCTTAAGATTTTTTTTTTTACAAACTGTTTATCTAAATGGTTTATCAAGAAATAATGTAATTTTATGAATGAATAAAATAATTGTCGTGAACTGGAGAAAATTTGCAAAATTATTCAACTTTAAACAACGAAAGCATTTTCCTTTTCAAAATAAAATATTTTTTTAATTCTAAATCCATGACAGAGAACATGAGTTATTGAATATAAATATATAACATTATACGTATTCTAGAACCTATTCAACATACCATATTAACACCGCTTGGTAACTGCATTGGAATGAGACAGATTCCTCCATCCTCAAATGGCCCGTAAACTGCTCCGTCTTTTCCATAGAGGTTTGGTTTCATGTGGGATGAGAAATAAACATCTACCCCAGGTTCCGTTGTGTAAACGTCAACAAAGCGACCATTTGAAGGATTCTCCAGCCTTATAATAGACCAAATTTTCAGGTAAAATGGATAATAAATTTTTTTGCTTTTTATATTATTGAGTAGGAGACATATGTTTTTTTTAAAAGTTTCTTTTTCGAAAGTCTTACTTTGCCACGTGTTTCATCTCCCCTCGGTTACCAAATACATAGCAGGAGACAATGATGTCTTTGATTACGCTTCTCACTAGTGTGGGTGTCGTTAAATCAAAAACAGTTCCATTAACAGTCGCTAT